TGTCTTGTGTTATTGATGAACAGGATCAATATTGAAAACTATCTAATGGTAATCGGATATTAGCTCTTCCAATAGAAACCCAATGAGACACCAGACACTAAAAAGCAGCTCAATTTCGTAAGCCACACATGTACACATTGCGGACCTATTTTTTGAAATGCCAACACATTTTCATGCGGTAAAATTTTTGGAACTTCTTCCTTGCAAGAATTATACTTTCTGATTTTTGCTCTCAAGTCTCTGCTCAGAACTTATTGCCAAGCAGCCTAACCATAAATAGTAGTCTCTTAGAGTACCTTATTTGAAAGTGTGTTAGGAACTGAAAAATGCCGCAGAAAATCTTTGTTGACAGAGTACTTTAGGCGCTCACATTCTAAGTGCTTTTTGCAGAAAATTAATATGGGCAATTTTTCTTATGCAAGTCAAATTGAATGCTACAAAATGAAGTAAAAACTTAGTACTTAGTACCTAGAGCTTTAAGAAAATCTCGAAAATAACTCGTTGTGATACTATTTATAAATCAAGTCCGTTGAGGTGTCAATTGAGTCTACGAAGGACAAGATGTGACCCTCTCCATTAGCCAAATTCAGAGAAAATAAATGACTGATTGTTCCATTCCTCAGTTCGGGTCAGCTTTGAGGGATCTGCCCTAGTAAAAAACGCTATGTAAACTTCTAACGTACAATCTCAATCAAAACAGAACAAACAGGAAATTGTGACAAAAAGATTGACTTGGCCATAGTTCTTGATGCCTCTGCGAGTATAGGTAAAGAAAGTTTTAAAGAAGACTTTGCTAAGGCACTGATCAGGCGACTCGCCTTATCCAGTGGCAGCGTCCGTGTGTCGCTCGTGGCGTCTTATTCCACTCATGGTACCTCCCTCTCCGAGCATTCCTTGATTGAGAAGAATTAAGCGTGCACGGGAATGCTTTGAAAGCCATCATCTTTTTTCTTTCTGCTAATTTTCAGTTGTTTTTTTTCCTTTCAGAAGTAAGAGAAGTTGTAATTTTTGTTACGAATGGATTTAGTTTCATTGGATCTGACGCAGTTAAAATAAGAGCTGACGAAATAAAAAGAAGAGGAATTGAAGTCATGGCAGTCGGAGTCACTAACAGGACGGGAGACGAAGAGCTGGAACATCTATTAAGCAAACCGATCAAGGATCATTTCTTTAAGCTAAACGAAGTTGATGATAGTATTTTGAGCAGAATTTGCCGATAGTTTTACCTACAAACAGCTGAGAGAAAATTGCCGCAGAAACCAAACTTTTGTGCCGTTAAATATCGTGAGCGAAAAATTTCTGGATATCTTTGTGAGCACATCTTTATATTCAGAGCTGGAGCCTGGTATGTTAAGCTTTTGCTGGATGATTGATTAAGGGCATGTAATCAAAGTTTGGCTCCTGTGGTAAAATTTAGAAAATTCAGAGAAAATGAAACGTTACAGTCCACTGTTGCTCCCTGTACTTTCTTTCAAATTGCGCAAATATTCGATAGAAAAATTAGAAGGAAGGGCCTAAAGTATTTCATCTATTCTTCCTGACCTGGATGTGCCTTAATGTCAACTTTAATTTAAAGAGTTAATGGAGACCCACACTTCTCGATTAGCTCATGGAGTAATGCCATCATTTTATTAACAACTACGTGTGGTAAATTCAATACAATGATCACCAGCATCTACAAATTGGCTGTTCCATGGACGACTTGCACGCTCCCTCGGTAAATTAGCGACCTTAAAATTACAATTAACATCGGTTAGTTCATCGCCAGTAAAAGTTCAATAAAAGCTGAAGTAAGTCGTGCAAAATGGACAGTTAGCAAAGAATACGGAGGAAGGAACCTAACAAAAAAGTATGATAACGATCATTTACCTCTTAATATTGCATAGCTCATTTATCGTTTGATAAAGTAAAAGTGCAGATATCAAAAAACCGTGAAGTTTGAAAAATGCTTCTGTTTTTAGTTGCTATTGTGTTCTCGTTTGATTTTATTTCCGTTTTTTTTTTCATTTTTTCTAAGACTCAGAACATTTTACTTTCAATCTGAAACATAAGCAACCAATTTTAATCGATCGTTTTTTCATCGTTCACCTGTTACGAAACCCTTTACACCCAAGCATCAGTATACATATTCTCCCTACTGTTCGTCATACATTTCCTATGATGCTGACAATGAGAATTTGTTTAACAATCAAGAGCTTCCCTAGTTGGTGATCATTTTCCCTATTCTCTTAACCCTAATGTTTGATTCAGGGATTATATTATGGGAGAAATTGGATGCTAGTCAATTTGTATCTGTAATTAATGACTTACCAATTGCAAAAAAGACACCGCAAAAAATTGAAAATACAATAAGTTTACTTATTATGCAAAAAGGAATCATGACAAATGAATAAAGGGGGTGAGTATCTAAAGAGACTGTGTTGCTGCGTCGGGGGGAGAGCATAACAGGTAATTTAGTGTTAAAATGTAAATTAGCCACCGTAAAGAGTTTAAAGGCAGACGTTTCGAGCGTTAGCCCTTCGTCAGAGCGATTGGAAGGGCTAACGTAACGTAACATAAGATTGAAAAAGAGCTAATGCTTGTTTTAAAATACTGTACCTGGCACTGGAAATCTCGGAATAAAAGGGTGCGGCACACCTGGCCCTGGCCTCGGTCCTATAACGGAATAAAAGTAGCTGCAGCTTTCTTCATTTATCATGGCACACCCATACCACCGTACATAAAAGCAGTGGCAAATTGCATCGTCATCCACTTGTTTTGTAAAGGTTTCTCTCTCAATTACAGTTAGGGATAGTTATGGAAGTTTTTCATCTATTATTTAAAGTGAAAAGAAGGCAGCGCGTTTCTATCATTGTATTTCCAAGAATTACGTCAGTTCAAAATAGTTATTATGACAATTAAGGGTTTGAATTTAATGTCAGTGAGCAAGTTTCTAATAATTTTTAACACCTCCTTCTGCCATTACTTGCTTGCTTTTGGATTTTCTCTGGTCTGATGTATGATTAACGAAGAAACCTCCGATTATCAAATATACTGAAAATTATACTGGTTTGTCAAATTTCGGTTCTCTCGTACGGCGATTACCAATCTCTTAATTCCATAGCTCCCCTCAAGATGTTTATGATATCTGCAAGTGTCATCTACAATGATTAAGACTGAGGCATATCACGCGATCCTCAATATTGAAGTTTCATTAACGAATTCAAATAGAAACTGGCGATCTCCTGGGGTCGCTTTGGATTAACTTTACTTTGCTCTTTGATTGGTCTAGGAAACTCGCGCCACTTTCTCAACCAGTCAGATTTAGCCCTTGAAGTAGGTTGCGAAATTTTTATTTGAGATTTACTGGAGATATCGTCCTTTCATCTGATTGGCCGTTTAGCTTATTTTACTTCTGGTTTTACTACATAAGGCACTCTATCGCGAAACAACACACTCGTCAGCTAATTCAACAAATTTTCCTTGCACAACCACAAACCTTTTCTGGTTGAAACTAACCAAAAGAAATGGAAGGCCTAGGTGAACAAGCCAAATCATGAAGGAAAAACGAAAGCCTCGAACTGGTGAATTTTGTTCAGTTCCCCTAACATGCGGTCAAACATATCGTGGGTAAATGACTAAAAGTTTGTACCTGCCATGATTCCTCGGATCCAACCCACGAAAAAACTGACCCGAGTGTACACACTGGATTGGTCAGATATGCAAAACGGGTGTCCAAAGGACGTGATCCCTTGGAGGGCAAACCTTCCACGGTCTTCACAAAACAGTGGACCACCGCTGTCCCCTTGGCATGTACTAGTTCCAGTTCCTCCTGCACATAACTGGAAATTAATATTAGGTATGCCCATTCCACATCTCCGAGGGTCTTGAAGAGGCATCGGTGCTTGTTGAAGAAGTGGAGGGGTTAATCTGTTTGGCCCAGGTATATGACGTCCCCAACCTGATGATTGGAATCAATGCTAATAGTTTTAATCTTTGATGGTGCTTTCATATTTGCATCAGGGAACGCCGCAAAATGTTGAAAATGGAAAAACAAAAAGACATTGCTAGTCTGGGTTATGTAGACACATTTGTGCACGTGCAACATCCATTAAAACCCGTGATAGCATTACATCTGACATACATCCTCCTTAAATCGCGTAGAGACATTTGTGTTGGAAGCTTTGGCAATTGACATGTATTCTTTACCTAGACTATATGAATATATTTATCATCAAAGTGAGGAAAGGTTATGTCAAGCTAAGCGCCAACCCCCCCCCCCCCCCCCCCCTCTGGATGGGAGGTTAATCTATCCCGAGGTTACCCCCCAGCATTTGATCAGGCTTCCCTGACAATTCACCGGTACCAAATTAATACTCCTGGATGGAGAGAGGCACTGTGAAAGAAAAGTGTTTTTCCCAAGTATACAACACGATGACCTGGTCAGGTCTCGAACCCAGACCTCTCCACCCAGACTCCAGCTCACTAACAAAGAGGCAACAGCTCTCCCACATCATAGCGAGAAGTTCGGTCTCATAGTCTAGTTTTTTTTTTCTTTTAAGTTTTTTATATTGATCAAACATTAATCAAATATGCTTACCAGCAGCCATGCATTTTGCTGTAAGCGATGGTTCTGTTGGGTTATTATCAGGCAAGGGAACAGGTGGGATATTGGTTACCCTGCCAGCGAGCCTTATAAGGGCAATGTCAAATGGACCCGCCGGTGGAAACGGCCTATATTGGGGATGCAAGACCAACTGTGCAACTCCAAAGTGCATACCAGGCTGATTTTGACCCTTGGCACCTGAAATAAAAAGAAATATATCACGAGTGAGGCATATTGCTCTCATACAATTGTACATTTCGAGATCGGCTATCAGCACAATCAAAATATCATAGCTTTAATTTGTAATTGAAAACAAAATGTTTAAAATATGGAGCTTAAAACGTTTGAGCCTACGTTTCTGTATCATTTCCAGTATAATTTAATAAGTTATATTTAATTTAGTTATGAAAAAATTTTTACCCATGTCGATTAGCAATCGATATCTGCAGGTCAAATTGGATATTTAGTACTAAATATGAGAAAATTGACAACGTATGTGAAGTGGTCGTGATGTTAGGCATCCAAATTTGACTTCATATGTGCAATGAGGTAAAGCCATTTACATCATTTTTGAGACGGACTGATTATATAAAAGCGGCACTGATGATTGTACACTGTGTAATTCCGTTGCAACCAGTTGGATCAAGCTTAAATCCATTATCTACAGAAACTTCGGCCACTTTTATATCTAGCAGCCGTTCTGATCGACGCGTAGCTCCTGGAGATCATATTTCCCGGAATTTATACTGCAACCTCTCAATCTCACCTGGAGGGTAAGATAATTCTTAAGTGTTCTCACAAAACGAAAGTTACTTTGAGGGAGAAGGGTGGTGAATGGAGGCAACGCTCAGCCCTTCGCTCTTCGATTCATAGTTAGTTAATACATCTAAAAGAATGATCAACCGTCTATGATGGGTATACCTACCCAAAAACACCTGCATTGTCTGAAGATTGATTGAAGGTTGATAAGTATGGGGGTCAAAAAAGCAGTGAGCAGCTGTAAGCACCCATTCAGGACTGATCAGTGAGCCACCGCAAAAATGACCATGATGTAATGTTCTCAATGAAGCCAGCCAGGGCCATGTGGCAGGATGAAGGGCATGTGCTCCATTGATAATTCTTCTGAAGAGAGGTGATGAAATCGCACTGCGATAACCTATGGGATATTACATGATAAGCTGAAGTATGCATGCATTTTTTGATTGGCTCTTTCTTATGAGTTCTTGGAGGAAGGGCACATAGATGACGTCGCCATCACCAACTTTTCGCTTCAATGTTACATAAAACAAATCGATGCCATTTCACTGAGCAATTTCTCTGCTACTTTTTTGTTCTCACCACATTTTGACACTATCTGTGATTTATTATTGATCTGACACACGACAATATGGAATATATTTGTTTAAAAAAATTCAGGCGATGACAAAGGCGTATCTTTTATGCCTACTATAGTATTCTACGTATTTATGAAAAAGAATACTTACTACAAAACAAATTGTAAAAAAGTGACAAAATTGTACCTGCATTTTGGAAACTTTTGGGTAGCTCTTGACGTTCAGGGGTGTCAGACTGGGGTGTCGAACCGAATTCGTCCTCTTGAACGTCGGCTGCCATGGCTGAGATTAAAATTTCATCGTTATGTTGTTATAGCGAAAGGAAACACACCACTCACTTCTGTAAGAGACTTGGATCTTTTTCTAGTGATAAATTTATACTGGACAGTATATAACAATGAGGTGGTTTTGAAAGAATTTATATCAGTAATAGCCAGTACAAACCCTGATTCCAAACTAAATGATAATTGCTAAAAAGAGGAAAAGATCTTTGTTACTGAAATAACAATTTCTAAAAGAATCCCACGAGTAACTCGATCTTTATGAGTATAAATGAACCTAGAAAAATCTTAAAATAATTCTAAGTTCAGCGACTTATTTTCTTCTCATATAGTTTGGTAGGAAAAAGCCCTATATGGTATCAAACAAGAATTCTACAAAGTTAAATTTGCAAATGTATTTGACAATACATATCTCATAGCAAACGTACTTAAATCAGCATTCACATCGTTTAACATTATGTTTCCCTATAAAAATAGAACGAGTACTTACAATGTACAGCGTAACAGGCAAGAATGAGTAAAAGAGTCCCTGCGTTTACCGTCATGGTCCGATCTCTGGAACAACGATATGAATCCCTAAGAGTGGAAAGCAGCAAGATTATCTCATTAGGAAAGCCTTATCACTCTTTATATGTAACGGAGGAAAATTTAAAAATGTAGGTGCTACACGTAAGAATGACTTAGCAAGTCTTAAGCAAATCAAACGGCCTCATGGACAAAAAATTAAAAGTTATAATTGACGCGAGGAAATTCTGCTTTTTCATAAACCTATTCCTGAAGCTACATGTTGTGACATTTTAATTACCTGTGGTAGGAAAGGGACTATAAAGTATTAGTTCGGTAAAACAGAAACAGAAAATCATGAAATGATAAACAAAGAAGGAGAAAGAGTGTGGTTGATCAAGGAGAAGGTTGACATGAGTTGTAAATTACTACAAAATATTACTTTGGTAACATGATAATTTGCATTAAAAGCAAAATAAACCCATGATGAAGAAGGATAGTTAAGTATGGATAAAACTGACACGAATTGTAAATTACCACAAAATATTACTTCGGCAAGGTGAAAATATGTGATAAAGTCAATTGATGAGATTGGCACGGATCGAAAGTGGTGAAATCAGTTGGAAAATGTAATGCTATGAACCCATTTGTGCATAGTAGCTCTTTCAGTGACTTATATGACATCAGTCTCCTACCAGAAGAGAATACGTCTTCCACAGCTCCATCGATAAGGTTTGTAAAGCTCTTTTTTTGGGACCACCACGCCAAACTTTTTATTTTTTCCATGAGTGGTTTTTTTTCACTGACTGAAAAAAGTTCACCTCTGAATCGTTCTTAGCTTACACCGCCGAAAAAAAGAGTCAATGTCGCTGAATGAACTTTTCAGAATTCGTGCGCCTTGGTTTCGTGATGACGTGTATCTAAAGAAAATTCTTCCTTTATCGATCTGAACCAAAAGCTTACTCGGAAAAGATTGCACAATCTTCACCTATGTCATTGAAGTTTTAGTTATGACAGAGGCTTGTTATACTCACTTGGAAATGTGTAGGTACGATCTTCAATCAGCTCAGTGTTTTCAAGCCTCTCTGGGAACAAGAGGAGAAGTTACTCTTTCTTTTCGCTCGCGCCTTTTTATTCGTTTCAAAACAATGGCTAAAGGAAAAAGATATTAACATTAAAATTGAACCTATTATTTTCTTTCGCAAATATGCCGCAAATTTTAATAGAAGGAGACTTATGCTCCATAGATATCAATGAGACGTAAAAACAGCCTGCCTACTTTAGGGTTGATGTGTCTCAAATAAAAGGTGCTGCCTCAGTATTGACGTTCTTTTTTACATAAATAATTATGCTCTGCATTTTAGCAGAAGTTTATGGAGCGCGTCTGTAATTTTCATCCACGGCAAACAAAACTAATGTCATTATTACTACAATTCGGTAGCAATGGCGTGTGAGTTTGTCACGTTTGTAAAATGAGGTCCAAAAACTTGTGGTTATAAGGTGGATATTTGATTCACTTAATTTTACCGATTTGTATTTCAAAATAATTTGAATAAAAGATTTTGTTATGAAACATCTTTTATAGAGGAAAGATAAGCTTAAGAACATAATTCGCGTCACTGATTTGCAATTATAGGTAAACTATTGTTTTACTAAAAAGCATGGAAGCACAGCTTTCTTTCTGCTTAAGGGTTAGTTTAAATTAAAGATATCAATGTATCCATGAAAGTAATCAAGTAAAAGAGAGCGCTAGACGGTCTTTTTTGTTCGTTTTTGTTTTTGAATGTTTTGCATTTTTTTGTCTAAGTTAGCTGTGCTGTGCTAAAAACCTTTGAACTTCAAATTTAAGGGAGCTCCTAGCGGAACAATTAAGATTTTTCAAATTACTCTCAAAAGCACTCGAAAAGTAGGCTAAATCATTCGCCTCTGGCTCGTGATTCACCACTTTTCTCGTGTTCTCCCAAATCAACGTTCCCCTGAGGTCGCGTGGGTTATTAGGCCAGTAAACCAATAGAAAGTGGAGTCTATTGCTTAAACAGTCCGCGCTGTTTCTGTCGCATAGTTCTGGACAAAATAATAATTGCATAATTGTGAAGGCCTTTTTCTAGACTCATCCGAACAGGATTTAAAGACGCATGTTCTTACTTTTCACTCGTGCAAAACATTGTCCGGTATTTTCCAATAGTTAACAATTATTCACTGTAGTAAAGGTAAATATCTTCCACTTTCACCGACACTGAGGTGAATAATTTTCTTAGTATCTACCATAAAGAAACCAAAAAATAGTATATTTCTTTCAAAATTTTGAGAAATGTCAGATATGAAACGCTCGAGGCGCGATTTTGTCCTCTTGACTGCTAAGAAGTGACTAGTACGTGCTGATCACTTCCGTGATAGCCAATTAGCCCCTTGCGAAAAGCACAATACACCTGCGTGGTATATAATAATGTCTACGGACAAACATTTGAAAGGAAATTGGCTAAGAATAATGATTAAAAAAGTCGCTTTACAATTATATTGTGCTTGTTTTCATCTACAATCATACTCCATCAGCTTTCGAGCAGATAATGGAGCACAGCGGTAATTGAAGTTTAATTTCAGGTAGTTCTTAAAGATGAAAAGCAAATCAGTGGGGGGAGCGTGTCGGTAACATTGACTCGTGCGTCAACTGATTTTAGAGACAGGTAGTTCTAACCGTTAATGATCAATCGAATGGAACATTGGCTCCAAGTAGCGGTTGAATTACTCTCAATGAATTATTACTCTGCTATCGAGCAGCAGTTTACTGAGCACGTCTCACGATTTAACTTCTGATGGTTACCTTGTTTTGCAAGCGGTTGAAGCAGAAGGATATTAGAAATAGTCTTTCCAGCCCTTTACATTCGGCTTTCGAGCAGAATTTGAAAGTCCACGTCTTAAACTATCACTCAAGCATGAAATTTAGTGCCGATTTCGTTACTCTGACATTCTCGAGCACTCGTTTGTCTGAATATCCTGTCATTAGCAAATACAAAAAGTGTTAAGATGGGACAACTAACGAACAATATTAGGGTTTCCAAAGATCTTTAATAGGGAAATTGCAGCTTCGTCTATATTTTCTCCAAGTTGGTTTGTATAAATTTGTTGATGGTTTATAGATGTGCTATCGAAAGAAACAAACGACTATATCTAGCATAACTTGAGTGACTGATTTGCAATTAGTTGCAAAAAAATCAGGTTTAAACTGTTGCATTAACAGAAGGAAAGCATGCAAGACTTTGTTATAGGACATAAGCTACTTCAACTCGGAGATGGCAAAGATACAGCCTCTATCAATGATAGTAACGATCTAAAAAAATCTGTATCGTCTCATCTCTTTGAATATATAAACCTGAAGCATATCTGACTGAATACCGTTTTCGCTTGAAGACATGTAAAAGAGGTTTTCAATGGGGTGATAAATTTACCCCTAAGGGTTAAGATTTAAGCCATTTGCCGCTAACTTTTAGTGAGAGTTTCATGACTCAAAAAAATGGCGCACTCTATAAAGAAAATATTTTAACGGTTATAGTTTTTCGTTAACGATTTTACGGTTAACCCCATTGAGACCGTCGTTATTTATCGACGCGTTATGGTTTTATTTATATATACGTGCATAATATCAATGTGATAAACTAAGGTCTGAGAGCTCTATCCAAGTGTGCTAAGTCTGTTATTCTCCAACACCGATATCACTGGAGCATCAGTTACATGTATAACTGAATAGCCGTAAAGGAGTTGGTTTCCGATTTCAACAGAAGTCAAACAATGTCCGATAGATAAAATTTGGATGTCAATCTACCGGTATTGAGAGAAAGAAGTTTATCTGCCGTCAAATGACATTTCTAATTCTGACCAAAGACTCTCAACATTACCTATAATTTCTGCTTAAACGAAGACTTTTAAAATCATTTGAATGATCATGATTTCTGATGGCCGAAGATACTCTTCCATTAAGAAAATGTGTATCCATCAATGGTTCATTCCACACGCCGAATTTGTCAAAGGAAGCGGGAAATCCAAGAGGGTGACTTAAGGAATTTTTCTGTTGTTGTAGTGTGTACGTCTGGGTGAGGGTAATTTTTGAAAATGACTGAGTTGTAGGTGACAATAACTGACCGGATTTTGTCATCAAAGGTAAATAAAGAGGTATTTTGCAGTCTATCGTTCAAGTCTTGTAAAAAAAACTGATAAGTTAGTACTATTACAAGAAAAACAAACTAATCCACTCCGAAACTTCTTAAACCTATTAAATCAGCCATTACGTCGATTTTTGCTGTCAGACCTGTTTGTTGAAGTTTATTTTCGAGACACAGACGAGACCTTTGTTGAGTAGCTAGGTTTGAGTAAATCAATAATAATGCAACAAACTAAAATATAACGTTTAATTTATTTTATAACAATAATTTGAAATCAAGATGTTTCTTAAGGAACAAAAACAACAGTTTTTGTCGTTCTCCTCTCGTCAGATCCTCCG